CCTGGCGCGGCAGAGAGCGGCCATCCAGAAGCTGCTGAGCGGCTGGCGGGACGCCGCCTCCCGCCGGCCCCCGCCGCCGCCCCCCGCCCGCACCCTGCTCTCCCCGGAGCAGTTCGTGTCGGCGGCGGGGGGCGGCCCGGCCGAGTACGAGAGCCTGTCGCTGGAGCTGTTCATGCTGGGCTATTTCCGCATCTTGGAGCAGGACCTGCCCCCCGAGGAGCGCCGTGGCCGCCACCTGCTCTGTTTCGAGGTGTTTGAGCAGCTGGGCCGGCACGGCTGGCGGGCGGTGCGGGCCTTCCACCGCGCCGTCATCGACGAGATCGCGGCCGGGCGGCGCGGCTGGCGCGACGGCTTCGACGACATCAAGGCACGGTACTTCGGGACTCCGCACAGCCCGGCCCAGCGGCCGGGGCAGGCCGGGGAGGAGGGCGACGAGATTTGTCGCTACATCGATCGCAGCTTCGCCTTTTGGAAGGAGAAGGAAGCCGAGATCTTCAGCCTGGAGGAGTGATGCCGAGGGGCTTCGGAGGCCGCGGGCTGCAATAAAAACCTTCTCGGTTCTGTCCCAGCTAAGCGAGGCTTTCCGGGGCGGTGAAGAAAGCTGCTCAGCTGGGCGGGCCGCCTCAGTAGCCCAGCTCCCCCTCTCCCAGGGCGGGTGTTCCAGTCTTCGGCTGCCGCCGCGTGTTTACGGCTGCCCCGGGGTGATAACCACCTCTATTTATAGCGGCAGCGGCAGTGCGAGCCGGAGCAGCGAGGAGGGGCATCGCGGGGAGCCCCTGCTGCCGATGGGGTGGAGGGAGGATGCTCTGGGAGCTTGTCCCTCCACGCTCGGTGCCCAGCCGACCCCTTCGCGAGGGGGAGTCTTTCCTAAAGGCAACAGCGCCGCGGGATGGGGCAACGAACGCAGATGGGCAGCGGCGAGAGCTCTGCCCGCGCGGTGCCTTTAAGAGCAGGGAGCAGTGTCCAGGTGCCGCCTAAAAATAGCGAGTGCCCCTGGTCCCGGCCGATCCCGTGTCATGCGGCGTGTCCCTGCCCAGCGCCGGGACCGCGGTCCCTTCCCTCCCGCGGGGCGGCCGGGCTGGGGAGCACTGGTGAGAGCGGGAGCGACCGCGCCGAGAGGGCTCAAATCGCCCCGAAAATCATCCCCAAAAGGCCGGTCGCCGCCCCGGCAGGGCAGCTGCGGCGTGGTGAGGAGAAAACGCGGCCATCGTGGGAGGGGGGCAGTGGGAAGCGCTTGTGCAGCCGCTGCTGTCTGTGACTCCGGCGCTGGGAACGGGGGGAGGATGTCGCGGCAGGGGGAGAGGGAGACACCGTCGCCTTTTCCTAGCAGGGACACTCTTGCCTCCCGCTGCTCGGGCACTGCCCGCCTGCCAGGCCCCACGGCCATCCCCGGCACCATGGTGAGGAACATGGACGACTTTGACTTCTGCCTGCCTTCGCACGCCCAGGGCGTGCTGGAGGGGCTGCAGCAGTTCCGCACCAACCCCAAACTGGCCGACGTGACGCTGGTGGCCGGCGGGCGGGAGTTTCCCTGCCACCGAGGCATCCTGGCCCTCTGCAGCCACTACTTCTATGCCATGTTCTCCGGTGACTTTGCTGAGAGCATCGCAGCACGGGTGGAGCTAAAGGAAGTAGACCCCAGTGCGCTGGAGATGCTGCTTGATTTTGCCTACACGGGAAAGGTCACCATCAACCAGGGCAATGTGGAGGGGCTGATGCGGACCTCCAGCCAGCTCCACTTCCCTGCCATCCAGAAGGTCTGCAGCCGCTACCTCCGGCAGCAGATGGATGCCACCAACTGCCTAGGTATCTGTGAGTTTGGTGAGAGCCACGGCTGCCCTGAGGTCTCCTCCAAGGCCTGGTCTTTCTTGCAGGAGAACTTTGAAGCCGTCTCTCTTCAGGAGGAGTTCCTCCAGCTCTCCAAGGAGAGGCTGGCTGTCTACCTCTCCAATGACCAGCTGCAGGTGCAGGAGGAGCGGAGCCTGGTTGAGGCTGTACTGCGCTGGGTACGCCACGACCCGGGATCCCGAGCCCAGTTCCTGCCAGAGCTGCTGGAGCTGACCCACCTTGTCTCGCTGCCTGACCAGTACCTGCAGAACCTCCTTGCCACTGAGCCTCTTGTTCGTGACTCAGATGCCAGCAAGGCCCTCGTTGCCCGATCCCGCACCATGGTGCGTACCTCCTTCCCCTAAATGCCACTTCCCGAGCCAGGAAGCAGGAGCCTGACAGTCCCATCTCTGCCTCTTCAGCAGGGGCAGAGTGGCACCGGTGCCCTGAAGAACCCCCCAGCCCCACCACAGAAGCTAGAGGAGGTGCTGGTGGTGGTTGGTGGCCGTGTGCTGGAGGATGGCGAGGATGACGAGAGGGGGCTGGAAATGCCAACTACCACCAGGAACTTTGCCTTCTACAACCCCAAAAGCAGTAAGTGCCCCCCACTTCCTCCAGCTCCCTCCATGTTAATTAACCATCTGTCTACCCTGAAGGCACCTCTTGCCAAACCAGTTTAGAGAGACACTGGTGGGGTTGGGACGGGCTTGAAACATGGGTAGCTTAAAAAGTGCCATCGCTGGCTCTGGGATCATTGCTTGGCTCTGTTGGGTTTCAGGGCGATGGATGGCTCTGCCTGACTTCCCTGATTACAACAAGTGGGGCTTTTCCCTGGTGGCTCTGAACAATGATGTGTACGTCACAGGTCAGTGCCAAGGCTGGTGGTGCAGGGTGGGGCTTCAAAGAGCAGGGATGGAGGACAGGGGACAATGGTATGAACATGAGGCACTGGTGTGGGGCCAGAGGCTCCTCTCTGAGCAAAATCCTCTCCTTACTCTCTGCTTGGGCAAATCTGGCCACAGGCAAGGAATACTCAGGGACAGCTGCACTTGGAGAGGGTGGCCCACCTGACCTGTCTCTCTCTAGGTGGCTCCCGGGGGTCCCAGAATGACACGTGGTCAACGACACAGGCCTGGTGCTTCTGCCCCAGGGATGGAGTCTGGCAGCCCATCGCTTCCATGCTGAGAGCCCGGACAAACCACACCAGCGCTGTCCTCAATGGTGAGATCTACGTGATCGGGGGTAAGGCTGCAAAGACCCTGTGGGTGCTGCTAGGATGGGGGTCCACGGGTGCCCCAGAGCAGCAGGGTGGCTGCAGTGTCCTGTCACCCTGCAGGGACAACAGTGGATGTGGTGGAGGTGGAGCGCTATGACCCGTACAACAAGAGCTGGTGTGCCATCAGCCCAGCCCTCAAGTACGTGAGCAATTTTGCAGCTGCCAGCTGCTTGGGCAAGCTCTACCTGGTGGGCTCCTGCGCCGTCAAGTACAACGCGCTCACTCTGCAGTGCTACAACCCCGTGCAAGGTGAGAGCTGACCCTGCTGCCACACCCCACCAGTGTTGTCCCCAGGAGAGGGACTGAGGGGGACCCCCAGGCAGGCGGCACCCCTGGACTGCCAAGCACAGTCCTGTGGGATGGAGCAGGTGCTGACAGGGTGTGGTGCTGGCTGTGGCCCAGGAGCCCCAGAGTGGAGCTGTTAGCAGCATGGAGTCACAGTGTCTGACACAGCTCAGAGCTCAGCTTTGGCAGAGTGGAATCTCTGAGGCATTGGGATGGGGGAGGCTGCCTGCCTTAGGGAGAAACTAGCGCCTTGTGACAATCCTCAAGCAGACTCTTTTCCATCCCACAGCACCACTACAAACCACATCCTCACCCCCCGCTATTTTTTACGCAAGACCCTCGACTGGGATGGGGACTGTGGTGCCAGTCTGCCTGGCTGCTCTGCCTCCTCCCTTTCAAATTCCCCCTGAAATAGCAATGCTTTTTTCAGCGACTGGCAGCTGCATGGAGAGCCGGGGTGGGGTGCGCTGCTAATGGCTGCTCCTTGCAGATCTGTGGAGCGTGATCACATCTCCCTTCATCCCCAAGTACCTCTCAGCCCCACGCTGCGCCACTCTGCGCGGGCTCATCTACCTCATCGGGGACAACACCAAGAAGGTCCACGTGTACAACCCAGAGGCCAACATCTGGCAGAAGGTGGGATGTGGGACCAGGCACAATCAGCCTCCCAGGGATACGGGGATGGTGTTCCCAGCTGCTTCCCCTCAGTGCCAGCACACCCCTCTCCCTCCTACCCACTCATCCCTTGGTTCTATTAACACCTACAGAGCTGAGGATGCCCCATTCCTTCCTCCCCTGCTCCCCATCACACACGCACAAGGCACTAGAGGCCCCCAAACCCCACAGATAGGAAAGATGGGGTAGGGAGACACTTCTGGTGGGTCACTGTCCTCTGTGGTGGGAGTAGGAGGTCACCAAGGAGTCCCTACACATCTCACTCTGTCCCTCACACAGGTGCAGCTCCTACACACACTGCATGAGAACGGTGGGATGGTGGCACTGGGTGACCGGCTCTTTGTCACCGGTGGCCACTGGAAGGGCATGGACGGGGACTACCGGGTAGAAATGGAGGTGTATGACTGCACCAAGGACCTCTGGACGCGTGAGGGCTCCCTGCCTTGTCTCTGGCTCTTCCACAGCTCTTCCTCCATCTTCATGGACACTTCTAAATGGACAGAACCTTTCCAGGGTGACCATGGGTGGTAGGAGAATCTCAGTGATGCCTGTCACCCTTTGCAGCCATGCTCCCCTTTTTTCTGCTGCCTGTTCAGACTGGCAAGTGGGAGGTGGAAAGCCCTGTGCCAGGCTGGCTGGGGCATCAGGAGCATATTCTCCCCCACCACTGCAGAGAAAAGGCTTTTCCTTATAAACATGCTTTGGTTAATGCTCTCTTCTTTTCATTTGTGGGTTTGTGGTTTTTTTAGAACTGCATTTCCCACCCTGCCCCCCCCCTCCCCCCAAAAAAAAACAAACAAAACAAAACAAAACAAAAAAAAACCCCTAAAGATTTCTGGGTATTTCAAGTCCTCCCAAAGTGTGATTCATCCCATCAAAGCCTGACATTGCTGCCTGGGGGCAGCAGCCTGTGCAAAACCCTGTTTTCGCTCCTGGGATGCGCAGCATGCACCCCAGGGAAGCAATCCATGGCCATGGTGAAGCAGCTGGCACCCGAGCGAGCCCGTGCTGGTGCGGTGACTCCTGCCCCAGCCCCGGTACCGGGGGCAGAGGGATGGGTGAGCACAAAATGAGGCTTCCCCGCTGGCTGGGCCCACAGCCAGCACCGCCGGCCGGTTCAGCTGTTCCCCCTCCGGTTGTCCGTGTTTCCGAAGCGTTACCAACGCCGCGCGGAGGCGCCCCCGGGGCGGGGTGGGCACCGCCCGCTCCCGGCGCTGCTCGCTCGGCCCACGCGGGGTTTTCCCCGCGGGGAGGTCCCCGAGGGCAGAGCCCAGCAGCGAGGCGGGGCCGGGCCGCCCTCCCGGTAGCGGCGGCGGGATGCGGCTGCCGGAGCTGTGCCTGGCGCTCCTCTACGCCGCCGGCACCGGAGCCCCGCGGGCAGCCCGGGAGCGGCCGCCGGCCCCGGGAGCGGCCCGCGTGGACCCCCGGCAGGCGTGGATGCTGCTGGCCGGGAGCCCCGGGAGGAGCAGCGGCGATCGGGGCCGCGGCGGCACCGGGGCTCGCTCGGCACCGGCGGGCCCCGGCTCTCCGGGAAAAACAACCCCGGCAGCCGCGCAGACCGGCGGCAGCGGGGCCGGCCCGGCCTCCCCCGCCCTGCCCGAGGAGCTGCGGAGGGAGCTGCAGCTCCTGCTCAGAGGTACCGCGCTGGGACCCCAGGGTGGCAGCTGTGGGGACAGCAGGGCAAGGCAAAGCAGGGCTGGGCAGCAGAGCCAGCCGAAGGGAAGGTTCCCTTCCTAACGTCAAACTCCGGTGGGGTTTGGGGTCAGGCACGGCAAAGATGTGCAGGACAGCTGGGGAAGGGTGTAAGGAAGAAGAAAGCAGCAAAGGCAGCCCCCGCGCCAGGGCCCAGCGTCGTGTGGAAGCAGCCTTCCATTGCCAAACCCGTGAAGACATCGTTGTGGAGAAGATGTGGCAGGAGCTGGGGCTGTTCTATATTGTAAGTGCCCAGCCTGCCCCTTTTTCCTGTCTGCAGGGGCACCTGCCCGGGCACAGGGACTCCTCCTCTAACTCCAGCCATTCCCTATGCCAGCCTGAGAGGGAGGGGATGTTCCACCGTGGCCCAGGGCTGAACCTGACCAGCGGGCAGTACACAGCCCCCTTTGCAGGATACTACACCTTCAGCAGCACGCTGCACATTGGTGAGCCCTGTGACAGCCCCACGGCCCTGCCGGGGCAGGCGGGGATGGGATGGTCTCACCCCCTGCTCTGTCCCAGCACGCCGGGAGCCGCGGAGGAGGAGGCAGGGATGCCGAGGGAGCCGCCTGCGGGTGCTGATCTGTGTGCAGTCCTGCTGCCAGCACAACAGGTATGGCAGGGCAAGGCCAGGGCCAGGGACGGGGGAAGGAGCCCAGCATTGCTGGGAAAGGAGGGGCCTGCTACCCCCACCACTGTCCTTCCTCTTCGGCAGCCATTTGGAGAGCATATCCCAGCTGGAGAGCAGTGGTGACCTTTTCACCATCTCTGTCACAGGCACCCTGTACCTGCAGGTGAGTGGTGCCAGCTCCTGGTCACAGTGCTGGGCAGGAAGGTGCCTTCCATGGCCCGAGCCCAGGGCTGCTGGGCATCAGGTCTGCTGCTCAGGTGACCTCCAAACTCCAAAGACAGTGAGGGCACTATAGCACAGACTGTGGCTGGGCTGCCCTAAAGGCTGCTCTTTTCCCAGAAGGAAAGGTAAGGGCAGCTCCTCTTGGTTGCTGTGTGCAGGGGAGAGCTCTCTCCTTGGCTCTGCCAGGCCATGCCTGGTGCCCAGGGGAGGTGTCCTGGCCCTAATCCCTCTCTTCCCCCAGGCTGGGCAGTATGCCTCTGTTTTCGTGGACAACACGGCAGGCTCTCCCCTCACAGTTCAAAGTGGCTCCGATTTCAGTGCTGTTCTGCTGGGAGTGTGAAGAGGCTGAACCATGCTGAACCTGTGCCAGGAGCAGCCAGACCCTTCCCTCTGTCAGCCACCATCATGATCAGCACCAAGCCTAAAGAAAACTGTTTGCTCATGCCGGAAACTACAGTCTGGTCCGACACTGCTCACACTGCAGAACCAGCTAAAGATGGACAAAAGATCATGATGATGATGATGATGATAGTAATAAAGCAGCCTGACCAGGATATAAAGGCATTCACTTTTATCTAAAGGCTAGGCCTAGAAGTTTATCTTGGAAAACACTGCTGACAGTGGCAGCGGATGGCAGCCTAGGGCTCAGCTCCCGCTGTTCCTGGTAAAAGCCCCACACATCCATTTTTGCCCTTCATGGACCTCCAAACCAGATTATGTAGTGCTTTAGCCCCCTGCAATGTATGAACAGAGGGTTTTGCTGGCAGGAGCCAACATCCTTTGCACTAATCATCAAAGCAAAGTCCCAATAACGCCGCACGTTGGATTAAAGCAAATTCCTGCCCTGTGACTTTCCAGAGCAGGCACTCCCTGCCTGTGGCCCAAGGCCTGGCTGTGGGAGGCACAGATACAGCACAGCTCATTGCTCTGGCTGCGATAGCTGCCTGAGCTCAGGATGGGCACAGGCCTACGTGACCGAGCAGGGCTGCAGCAGAAGCACCAGGAAGGCTGAGCGTTTGATTTCCGAGTAGCACTCACTACTGGGTAAGTTGTGCCAGCAACACTGCAAGATAGGCTAAGCCAACAGCCCCACCTTCTCCCAGCGATGTCCCTGGCCCTGCCTGCCCTTCTCCACAGGCTGCATCTCCTTGAGGAGCCTGGTGAAGGAGCTGTTAATGCAGCAATTTTGGGTGGGGTGTTTGGGTCTGGAAAAAGGGGGAGCTGTGAAGGGAAAGCAAGTTGTCTTTCTGAATTTTGCCATCAGGGTTTATTTTGCCACAAAAAGAAGCAACTCCATGCTACTCTGTCTGGGCCCTCCAAATTTGCCTTTCAGGAGTAGAAACAGGAGAGTGTGAGAGGCATTTCCTCTCAGTTTATCCTGCACTGCAACCTTACATCAAAATACACACGAATGGTTGGGAACAGAACAAGCTGGCAGAGGACAAGCACTACCCAAAATCTATGCCAGAGGGCCACTTCCTTCCTCAGTGCTCTGCAGGAGATGCAGAGTCAGTGTGCACCCTCAGACTAAGCCCATGAAGTGTAACTCACTACTGCTGGAGCAGAAATAGAAGTAAGATGGTCAAGCCACCTGTCCCAAACAGGACAGCCACCGTGTGCTCCAGCAAACAGCCCAGGAGCTGGGACCATCTCCCAAAGTTCCAGGGATACAGAAAACAGAAAGGAGCCAGGGAAGCCTCACAACCCTGCACAAAACAGCAGACACCACCCTGCCCTTGCCCCCCTCCCCTGGACCTACAGCTGTGCCTCATCAGAGCAAGGAGGCAACCACAATGCAGACACCTCAGCCCACCTCCCTCCCTGCCCCCCTCACACACAGAGTGGGAAATTGGAAACTTCAGGGCCTAGGTAGCCCAATCCATTTAGCTTTCATCCTGTCACTTGGTCTTAGGCCAAATTTTCTCTGGAAAACAGCACACCGACTGCAGCAACAGCTGGTAGAGGCACTGAGACAGGATGAGACACCAGACACTTATTAGTACCTAAAACCTGAGATGCCTCCTCCTCAGATAGCACAGACAAGCACAGAGCCTGCCTGCAGCTCAGCTGCCTGGCAAGTCCATTTGGTAAAAACACCTTTTCCAAAAAACATCAGGAGCAAACTCCAGCCACTTCTCCCATACCAACATTGTGGTAAAACTCCAACATGTTCTGCAGGCACAGGACAGGTATGCTGCTGCTCTGCAAGGGGTGTTTGTGTACCTCAGCTGCAGGCAACCTCACAGCCCAGCTTCAGAGCCAGGTTTTCTACCCAGTGTGAAGAGACAAGCTCATACCAAATCCCAAGCTGGTGGCCTGTAGCACCTCAGTCTGCATGGTACAGTCTGTCTGAGGCCTGCAACTCCAGACTCTCCCAGGGTCTTGCATAAAGCTCAAGGATGTGGAAAGAAGAACTGTCCCATTAAACAGCTGGCAGAGCTCATGCCCCCAGATGCCTCCTGCTAGCACCCCTGCCAAATGAATTCACTGCATTTGCCAAGACATTCAACCCTACTACTAAGTGAGCTAAACCTATTAGAAAAAAGCCATCTTTATTTACACTGAAGAGCATCCAGCAGGACCCACCCTCCCCCAGGCACACATGCATGCACACAGACCTCTCCCCTCCTTCCAGCCAGCACACCTCATCCCTCAGTGCTCTATCCGGACCACCATGACGGTGACGTTGTCGGCCGAGCCCCGCTGCACTGCCTTGTTGGCCAGCCTGTTACACGCGGCCTCGTACCGAGCGTCGGCTTCCAGCTTCCCCTCTCTCATCTGGATATTCTTATCCTGTTGGGACAAAGGGATTTCACTGCTCCCAGCAAAGGTAGGTACATTGCATTTTCCAAGCACTGGGAAAAGGGAGGACTCTCTGGCAGAAGTCCATTTTGTGCCCCCTGCACTGACAAACCCAGCCCCCAGGCCACTACTCCTCACCTCCAGGCAGGACACAATGAAGTTCACAGCTTCTTCTGGTGTAAAGACTTTAAACAGGCCATCACACGCTATCAGAATGAACCTGGAAATCAAGTGGAGACAGATTCCAAGGCTGAATTTTTGGCTTCTCAGCTACAATAAAATCACTGAAATCTGTTTTATGAACGTCCATACTCAGATCCAAAGGGAAGATGCCATAAAAGCTCATCTGAAAATCCCTTGGGACCTAACGTCCATGCCAATTCAAAGTACAGGACAAAGAGCCAGGCAACTAACATAAGACCTTGATCAGGACATCCTGGCTGTCTTACAACACTAGCAAGATCATATATGATCCTGGTCAAATGCTCCACTGTTTCTGTAAGAACTGCTTCCTTCCTTGGAGTCCTTTTCATTCATGAATTTTCCCTGTGAAGCAGCTAATGCAAGGAAATAGAGAAACAAAGCTGAATCCCTCATGTACATCACTTTACATTTCTACACTCCTGAGGTAATTTCAATATGCAAATTCAAAAGAAAATCATGTGACACAACTGTGATCAGAAAAACTCTGACACAAAATATTGCCACAGGCGGCAGAAGGTCCAGGAGATACAAAGTCCAAGGCAAGGACAGCATCTCCGTTAGGATGGGGAGACAGCCTGCTGTGCACTCCCTGCCTTCACAGGAGCCCTAACCAGAGTCACCAGGACAAGGAAAACTACAGCAAACCTACAGAAGCAGTCAGTCTGCACATGCCTCTGAAGACATAACTTCAGTGCATGATACTCAAGAGTATCTTTAGAAATATTTTAGTGGATCACTTGATATGGAACTCTAATCCCAGAAAAAGCAGCAGTACTGGGTTACACTCTCATCTCTGAGAGTCTGCAGGGCTCTACTGACACAAAAGCTCACTGCAATTTGTTGTTGCCAATCATATAATGAAAAAGTATCTCAAATCTTCAAATATCAGAGCTGAATGCAAAAGTATTTATGGGCACTACAGCTACTAGAAACAACTCCTGGACAGAATGGAGACCCAAGAACCCAAGCCTCAACTACCTGCTTAAACACTGATTTGTGAACTTAATCAGAGCATGAAGGACATCTAAGGCTTGTGTATGCTATTCCTGTAAGGCTGGTTCCTCCAAGAGGAGCCTTCAGAGTATCTTGGCAGAGCAGCAGATTATCCCACTGTTCTAATAATGAACAGAAGCAGAGAGACAGCAGCAGTAAGAGCATCCTCTAATTCTGGGGGGATCAGTCTGAAATGCCTTGGCTCTCACAGCAGAGCAAACAGGGATGAGCAGCTTCTGCTGAGCAGAGCTGAGACAGACAACCCCCTGTGCAAGGGCACACTTTACCTGTCGTTGTGTGTGAGTTGGCAGCGTTTGATATCTGGCACAGAGATCACACCACAGCGCTTGTACTGGCCATCCCCAATGGAGCGGGAAACCTCCAGCACTCCCAGGACTCTCCCTTCCCTGCACAAGGAAAGAACACACTGAGAGCCCTCCCCACAGGTGTATTCCACTGCACTGCCTGATGGGGACATTTCATGCATCCATCTGCTTGTACAAATAATGACCCACTTCCCCAGCAAGTTCAAATCTTCCCTTCAAAGTCTCCTTTTCTTTCTGTATGTGTGAAGCTCTGGGAAACAAGAGAGGGGGAGGATAAAATGAAGTCAGGAGACTTCAAGGCTGTTTTCTGTCACCCTGCCCAAACTCAAGTCCTGCTTAGCCTAGCAAACTGAGGCAGTAAAATTATATGTGAGCTGAACACCCAGTGGCATAGTTTGAATAGAGATTATTTTTTGGCAAGATATCCAGCAAACTGCTCTTCACTAGAAGCACAGAGTGGCAGAGGCAAGAGGTCTGAGTCAGCAGCCCCTCCTGGGTCCTGTCTGAGGACACCAAGCCCTACAGACTGGCCCAGCTGCAGGCAGTTCCCAGGAGTGAGAAACACAGCATGTTCAGCTCCTGATCATTTGGCCTTTAGTAACCACTGATTGCAGCAAGCATTAAAACCTACATTACAACACCCTTTAGGAAACAGCTCTGGGTTGTTAAACTTTTCTAATTAACCAAGCTCCCTAGAGAAACAGCTTCCCACACTTCACCTTTCCAACAATCAAGCATCTTGTCTCCAAAAAGGCTCTTTTGTGCCCTCTGAGAATACACAAAGCTCATTCATCTTGTAGCCCAAACAGCCCCGCTTGAGATAAAAGCAAGAAGCAAGGCATGCCACAGAGATCTGACACTCACAGACTGTGTGGCTTATCTCTTGGGCCCAAAATATTGAACTGCAAGCAGTGGGAGAGGCTCCCAGGCAGTCAGGGACCAGTTCTGAAAGGAGCTAACAGACACTGGGCCATCTCTTTGCCATGTGCAAAGAGAGATCAATTCTGAGTCTAAGTGGCAGCATGTGCTCCCCAGAGATAAGGGGAACAAAGCTTTCCAGACACAGCTGCATACCAGAACTGAGCCCACCCCCCTACACCCTGGGTGCATTTTGCTTCCACAGGCATGAAGACACTTCACCTGAACCGAATCCTCTCTTTGTGAAGATGCCACTAAATAAAGAAACAGCCTACAAAGAAGAGAGAGAACCTAGCCATGAAGCAAGACTCAGCTGTTGTGTTTGGCACCTACTCCCCAAGCAGCCACGAACTACTTTTTGTACAGGAACATTAGGATAATCATATTTTGGCTCTAGAATCTCCTTCCTAATGCAGAGATCCTCAGTGCATCAGCTAACCCCAGGGGAGCAACACCAAGGTACATCGTGGGCATTTTGTGCTCTCTCAAACTATGCCCCCTCTCACAGGACAAGGACAGAGGAATCATGCTACAAGGAAATGAGTTTTGTCCAGCACCACAGTGTGCAGAAAGCAGTAACTTCCTCAACAATCCAATCTACCTCTGTAGGTCCAAATCTGTAGGTGAATTTTAAGCATGCCTATGCTGGTATCCCACTGCCAGACTGTTACATGGGCCCTGCTTTGCCCATCCAAAGGCTCTGGGAACCATCAACAAACTCCAGGAACCGAATCCTTACAGGCCTCAGGCAGCAACAGATTCTTTCAACTACGATGCATACTGGGCTCAGGAAGCCTCAAAACCTCAATGCTCAGGCCTCAAATCAGGCTAGGGTTTAGATCAGCAAATTCACACCCTCAGGCACTCACCTGACGTTTCCCCCAGCCTTCTGTATCCGCATCCGCTCCTCATACTGGGTGGGGTTGTGCTCCTTACTGAGGCTCAAGGCCGTGTGTTTCTGACTCTCCTCGTTGTAACGACACAGAATGGCCTGTGCTGACAAAAGACCACCATCAAACAACAACACAACTGCAGTAACAGCTTCTTGAGAGAGAGCCCCAAACTGTAGTGAATGGTGCTACAACAGGCCAGGAACTGGTGGCCAGGTGTTTCTCAGGGCTCATTTCTATGCAGGAGATGCTGTTCAGTGCTTTTATCAGTGATCTGGATACAAAAGCTGAATGCACCAAGTTTGCTGATGATACCAAGCTGGGAGTGCTGTGGGCTCTCTGGAAGGACAAGAGGCCTTGCAGAGGGATCTGCACAGATGCACCATGTGGCAGTGCCAGTGGCACAGAATTACTGAGCCCAAGTGCTGGGTTCTGCACCCAGGGTGGAGCAAGGCTGAGCATGAGCATAAGCTGGGAGAGGAGTGGCCTGGGGAGCTGCCCTCTGGAAGGGTCTGGGGCTGCTGGTTGGCAGCAGCTCAGCAGGAACCATGGCCAGGAGGGCAGGTGGCATCCTGGGGACACCTGACACAGCGTGGGCAGCGGGCCAGGAGAGGGGATGGCCTGGCTGTGCTCAGCACTGGGGCAGCCTCACCCAGAGCACTCCAGCGTTAGAGATGGTGGGAACGTGCTTGAGTGTCTCCAGAAGAGGAGAACCACGCTGGGGGTGGAAGATGTGACCTGGGAGGAGGCTGAGGGCTCTGGGTTTGTGTGGCTTGGAGAGAAGGAGGCTGAGGGACAACCTCATCCCCCTCTGCAGCTTCCTGAGGAGGGGGTATAAGAAACAGCCAAAGTTCCCTTCATTTTTGGCTCACTATCATCGCAATGGCAGAGACAGAGATCAGAAAGGCCCTGACTGGAGCGCTGGCCTGGCTGAGGTGGATGCTCACCCAGTGATTGTTTGCAGATGTGTCTGCTGTGTTGCCACGCTGCACTGCTCCTGGCAGGGCCTGGCAAGGACCAGCTTGCTCTACACACTTACACCTGCTTCACAACATCCAAACCCATGAATTCTCCCACCTCTTGGCAAAATGAACTTTCTGGGCTAACTCTGGTGACCGCCCACAGAAAACCCCTCATCTGCCTCACAACCACCATGATGGATGGAGACTGAAGCCCCCTCCCAAGGACTGAGACCCCTATAATTCTAACATAGGGGTGCTGGTCTGACTGAAGCAGGATGTTTGTGTCAAGTGTTTCCTACAGGTGTGTTTGTTGGACCAAGAAAACAATGGGTTTCATTCACTGCCCTGCTTTGGAACATGGACTGTCTGTACCTGTTTTTCAATAGACTCCTTCTCCATTACCAGTTCCTCCCACTCAGCAGAGGACTATAAAAGACCCCTAAGTTAACCAAGACTTTGGTGAACCCTCACGGACAACGACAGATCTATTGGCTGGACCATGAGGATTTAGTCTCTCTGTTTGGCAGCTATATCCCCCTCTTTTTTTCTTTCTATCCTTTATTTCCTTTCTGATCCCTCTATTACATTTGCTGTTGGCACTCAATAAAGGTGCATTTGTTGTGATTAAACTGATGGTCCCCTGCTGTTCACCTTTTGCACTTTTGGGATGAGTAAAATGAACCATCACAACACCCTGCATGTCCTAGCAGATCGTGACAGGGGCATGGAGAGGGAAGTGATGATCTCATGGGAATGCTGATCTCAAAGCAGGGCCAGGGCAGGTTCAGGCTGGACATTAGGAAGTGTTTCTTTATAGAGCATATAATCAAACACTGCACCAGACTTCCTGGAGAGATGTCAGTGACTGTCAGACTGTCAGTGTTTGAGAGGCACTTGAGCAGTGGTGTAACTTTAGGGCAGCCCTGAACTGGTCAAAGCAGGTGGACCAGATGATTGTCATAGGTCCATTACAACTGAAATATTCTCTTCTTGATACTGTGAAATATTTAGCACCACCAAGAGAGAGCTTTCACACACCACTGTTTTACACTATGGGAGACAAACACAGAAGTACTCTGTACCCACCCAAAACAAGATGCTTTATAGGAACAGTTGAGTAGCTCATGACAACTCAGATATCCCAAACAAACAAACAAAAACCCCACAAAGCTCTGGGCAGAATAAAGACGCCACCAGTGGTCTCCATTCTGCTTACCCGGCTGTCCCCAAGGTTGGCTATGTAGAGAATATTGTCAACAGCTAAGACACAAGTAGCTGTGGAGCCATCCTTCCATGCTGGCTTCCTGAAGGGAACAAAAATGAGATTACTAAAGGAAAAATAACAACACTTCAGTTACACAGTGTTCTTGGGGACTCAAAGTGTCCTGTGCCAACACACAGCAATCAGGTAGCACAAGCCCACAGCAGCTGCCTGCTAGCAGCTCAGGTTGGTGATAAACAGCAAACTGGACAAGGACAGAGGAACTACACAGACTACAGATTTCTGAACGCACAGCCAATGCCCAGCTGGTGTAAATACTGCCAACCACAGCTCCCACACCAACTCTTCCTCACACTCAGCTCCCAGGAAACGTCATATGTGAGCAAAACAGGCTCAGCCCTTATGGCTGCCCAAAAGCTACAGCATCACAAGCAAACAAGCACCTCACACTGCTCCTTGGAAAGCTTCCTTGCAGCAAAACTCTGCAGCAGAAATGCCTTCTTTTTTGCTTACGTTTTCCTTCCTGTTTTCACAGTATCCCTGCTCCCTCCCCCACCTCACCCTCCACCACCCCACCTCAGCAGCAGCACCACCACCACTCCTCAGTTGCTCTCCTGTTTCACTTCCTGTAGTTAAGCTTTTATCTCTAGAGCTCTAGGTAAAACGAGAAGCATTTCTCAGATTACAGCTGCCAGACTAGTCCTGTCCACAAAAAAGCCTGGCTATGATGCCATTCTCCACTGAAACTAGCTCTGAGAGAATAATTTCTAGACATATTTCACCCAGTTTTTCCTTACTTTGAAGGTGTGGCTGAAAGAACATGATTCATTTCACTATCAATACGGCTACTGCTAGCAATCCTTCGTCATAAGTCATGTTTCTGACCAGAGGCTGGTTTGAGAAAGACAGTACTGTGACAGACTCAAGAAAGCATCCTCCTGGTCAAACTTGTTCTGATTAGGCTTAAGAGACTGAGCCAGTTTGCAATTTACTTAAAATTGAAAGTTTTCAGGGAATCAGAGAATCAAATACAGCAACAGTCTATCTGTGAGAGAGGTGTCACTGTGAAATAGGTACAATAAAAAAGCAAATGTGAGTAAAGGATTGGTAACAAAGTGACTGTATTTGAAATGCAATCTGTATCTTCCCTAGCCCACACATTCGGTGTGTCAGTTCAGCAGAGAGAGAGAAGGGAGCTTGGCACTCCACACCCAGCTGCAAGGCAGGCTGGCATTTATCCCACAGAGGGACATTCTTCATCAACATCTGTTTTCTCAAGAGCTGAAGAAAGCAAGATTTAAATTTACATTTAAATTAAACATTTACATTTACATTTAAAGACATAGGTCTTTCAACACAGGGCATTAAAAGCTACCTCAGGGATGTGCTCCAGCCTGACAAGCACAGCTCTATAGAAAGCTTACTGGCCTCTACAGATCCCCTCTGGCCACACACTAATGCCATTAACAGAGAGATCCCACCTCAGGCAGTACAGGACAAGTCCTTTCAGCAACACGCCAAGTCTTTAAAAAGAAACCAAATAATCCTGAGAAGGACAGAAGTGGTCCTTGGACCTGTTTTGCTTCCTTCCTTTGGAGAAACATTTTAGTCTAAGGGATCCTATATACCACTTACCATAGAGTAAGACTGGAACATGCCAGGATCTAGTTCTAGCAAGCACTCAGCTGGCAGAGTCATAGCCTGGCACAGTGGAGCTGTGTGGAATTTTGCCAAAGCACAGGAATGACACAAGGAATGTTTCCTCTGCCCTGCTCACAACTCAGACCTACAAGTGAATACAAGTGAACAGAAAGCATTTGCACTTACTGGCTGGATGCCTGCTTTAGAAACTCTTCATCTGTGTGTTTGAAGGTGTCCAAAAGACATCTCTTCACAGTTTTCTCCACACTGGCTACCTCACCTGTCAGACAGAGAAAACAGCAACTAAGCTCCAAGTAAAACATATCTATCTATCCTAGTCTGCCCCTTTGTTCATCCAACATTCAGTCAGGCAGTGCATCTCTTGAACTCTGCAGGGCAGCTGGAGCACATCCTGGGCTTACCCTACCAGAAATCCATGCAGTACTCTACGTGGAGAGTTTATGACATAAACCTCTCCATCACAGGAGTATTTTCATACTTGATGTGGCACTGCCAAAACTAGCAACAGCACATCCAACATTTGCTGAGTGAGTCACAACTAGCTACTTGCACCCTGGTGCCAAAAAGGCTTCCAGCCCTCTTCCCCAGCAGACACAGCAGTCTTGCAAGCCCTCTGGTAATAAGGGATGAGTTGTGGAAAGCACATTTCTCTCCCTCTCAGGATTTTTCATAGAGGTGCACAGAGAAAAATGAAAGAGAAAACAATTTCTATTTCTGCTCCTTGTTTTTCCTATGTGGAATGTGTTTGGAGAATTGTTTACCTGGAGTGAGTGCTTGATTGGATTCTGTTGAGGATTGTTTGGGCCTGATGGCCAATCCAACCCACTTGTGTCTGGACTCTTGAGAGGGTCACGAGTTGAGTTAGAGTCAGAGAAAGTAGTATGCAGTTTTAGTATCCTCCTTTTATATAGTATATATTGATGTATTTTAGCATAGTTATAATAAAGAAATAATTCAGCCTTCTGAATTGAGTCAGACATCAGCATTTCTTCCCAATGGGCTCGCCTGCATTTACAATAATGGGTGTACTGTAGGACAACACCCAAACAGATCAGTTTCCCTATCCACTGCCAAGGCAGAAAAGGTGATGGTTGAACTACAGCCCTTATTCCACTCCTCTTACCTTTAGGAAATTTCTTAATCAGGTTTTGGTGCAGATTCTGTGCTGCAAATTTGGAGGCTCGGACTCCCCCATGGCCATCAAAAACAGCGAAGTACGAGACCCGTGTGCTGTGAGGGAACAAAAGGCAGCAGGAGGAGGCTAAGAAAGGTCATTAGCCAGGCAATGGCATCAAGCACACTGCTCTCCAGACCACCCTGCCCTGTGCCAGCCAGACTGAAAATCCTGCACTGCAAGGCACAAGAGGTAGCAGGTTTCTGAGCTCATATATTCAGCATGTACATGGTTTATGTGTTCCACCACGGAGCTGAGAACTTTCTTGTAATTTTCCACTCCTCAAGAAAATGAAGGGCTAAAGGGTTTACAGACCTCAACTTGGCATAAAAGCAGATAAACATATTACCTCAAGGACACTGCAACTCTCCAGCATTGCAGACATCTGTCTAGTCAATCCTACAGTACCTTCCATACCTAAGCTTGTTTCAACTATGCTACAGACAAAAAACTTGGATCTCTCAGAACACAAACCTCTTGGGACAGTACTAGTTCAGAAGCTACATCCAGTATCAGGGTGATGCTCGAGAACATTATTTTCATTTTACATACCCACTTACATTTGGGTAATATAGGATCAACACCCAGAGTTATCAGGCCCTCATGGTGCTTGTAAAGTCAGTGACTGAATCCACTAAGCACCCCTCAAAGGGAGGTGTTTGTACACCAGCCCTGTGAATTGCCTGGGAACACAGCTAGCTGATGCTTCACCACAGGTCTCCCAATAAGAAGCTCAAACCACTCACCACAAGACAGGCAGACAAGAGCAGCAGCTGGTCAAAGCAAAAAGGATCATCCCATGGGCTTAGCTGAAGCAAGCTAGAGCCCCCTCACCCCCAGGATGGCTGTTCTGGCAGCTGGGGCCCACTTACATTTGGGAGGGCAGAGGCCGGCATTCCTCAGTGATGTCGTTCAAGATGACGTGTGCATCCTGCATGTCTTCTCTCTCACCTTTCCTCTCTGCCACATAACCCTTCAGTCCAAGAATGCCCACTGATCCTAAAGGGGAACAAAGCAGGCACACACATGCAAATCAAACTCCTCTGTCTCCTCAGCTCAGGCTAAAAAACAGGAAGTTCTCAGCTTTCAGAGCCCTGTCCTGGCAGTGCAGCCCTCGTCCTGCAACAAAACATCTAGCATCTGCTGCTGAACAGGACACGTTTATTTTGTAACATGGGTTTTTACATGCCCCCAAGGTCAGCAGCTCTAAAAGCAGCCTGCCCTCATTTCAGCAAGCAGCTGTAGCCAAGCAAGACTGCTGGGCATTGGACAGGACTCTTACCAAACAGGGGCAGGGGACAGGGTGGGCAGGTGTGGCATGTGGCACTGAACCTGCAGATTAATAAAGCACAGCTTTAAAGAGTGCACTAAGGACAGGAAATCCAGGTGTGATGTTCCCAGGACATGTCCTTTCCTTTGTACCCCTGAACACATTTTACTCCCAAAGCTGCAGCACAGCACACAGGCACTGAAGCCAAGGGCCCTGTATGTAACAAGCCTGTCTCTCCCCTTCCCTGGCATCCTCAGCAGCCAGCAGAGGGGTCTGTGCCTCTGGCAAAAGAAGTGGTGTGGATCTAGCCTTACAGAGGTTCCACACCCAATCTCCCTCTTGGCAGCACTGCAAGTGCTGAGGTGCCTGCTGCTCAGCTCCTGCTGCTTCAGCAGGGACAGAAAGAAGGTCCAGGGGAAGGAGACAGACCCAGGAAGCTCAGGGAGCTTCCACAGACCCCTGCAGCAGTTTGTTTCCTACAAGAGGCTGAAAAGGCAAACAGACTGAAGAACCAAAGCTTAGCTTTGTTCTGGACTTACTCAGCCCAACACCAAAAGTACAAATTGAGTACATTTGTTTTCAAACTGTCTGAAAACCTTTACAAACTTTCTTTTCCACAAGTTCTTCCCTGCCATTCTTCTCGTCCTCCTCCTCTAAGGACTTTCTCTTCTGCCCTTTCTCTTGGCTCTCTGCTGATGAGACTTGCTTAGTAGCACTGGAGGCTGAAAGAAAGCAAAAATGCAGGTGGCTCAAGTGTTCCTGGACTGTTTTACTTGCATAAATTCAGCAGCAAGTCCTTTCAGACCAAAGCACACTCAGGAGTGCAGGCTCACACACTTACACAGCATTAAGACCACAGTTACTACTGAACAACCCACAGGTTTTACTCCTTACCTACCAGGCTTTTTTGTTTTGTCCCCCAGTTAATTGCTCAGGAAGTTAATGTTATAGGCTGGAACACTTCTACATTATTATTCTCCTCTATGATCTCTGCCCACAACAACACAAAGGAACTTAATTTATTACTCTGAACGTGCATATTTTTAGAAGATTCAAAAGAAGGCTACAAATTAAAGCTAGCAAGCAAAACCTGATGTCAGAACTCTGGCTTTTTCCTTCTGGAGATTTAGGCTCCTATGGGTATAGTGAATTATCTCAGCTCCTCCCAGGTGACAGCAAGCACATGGCTGCATGGAGAAAGCCTTGAGAGCAGCACTCTGGGCAGTGACTGCACCAGGCCACTTCCCCTCCCAAAGCAGGGAGCTTTCAGAGAGAACCGTGGTCCCCAAAAGACAGCAATGTACTTCTGGGAACAGGCCTAATTTTAAGATTCAGAATCCTGATTTAAACAATTAGGCTACAAATTGCCATGAAAGTTGTCAGCCAATCTGGACTGGAGAAATAAGCACCAGGTTAACTTGCTAAGTGTCCAACACAACATGCTGCATCGTGGGCTTTTCCCAGAGAGAGGTGGCTCAGCAGAGGCTGATGAGGGACACAGCTCCTTACCTGGGTCACCACTGCTGGCTGGTGGGAGACCATCGAAGAGCAAAGAGCCTTCTTTTCCTGGAGCACAAGAACAAAATAAAAATAATTAAATACCTTTGTCCCTGGCAGGGAATAATGCTTTGCCTATGTCTCTCCTGAGGTGAAGAAATTATGTCAGTTTAGCAAAGAGAGACAAATTTCTACTTCCATTACTAGTTGGGCAAATCCAGGCTTTGCATTTGTTCCAGAGAACATTTTTAAGGAATGTTTCATAGAATATATGTGGAACAACAAAAACACCCTGGTTATAAAAAACCAAACAGGATGCAGCTATCTACATGCCAGCACTGATAACCCTACTGTCTTTATTCTGTCTAACAAAGAACAGGATTTACACACATTTCATCTGAAAGAGATGCTGATGCAGGAAACACGGAAAACCAAACTAAAGGTAGGAAGAGAGCACCCATACCTGAGTCAGCACTGCTGGATGGTGGGAGATCATCAAACAGCAGAGGCCCTTTTTGGGCATCTTTCCCTGCAAGGCACCAGGGCAGAGTAAGGCACCAGTGCAGCACTCCTGGGGGAGGCTGTTCTGAAAGGACTGTCCCCAGGGCAGCACAGGTGGGGTAAAGCAGGAGAGCCTTACCTCCACCTGTAATTTTAGCAGCTGCTGCACAAGCAAGCAAAATAACCACCTGCCTGGGGCTGAGGTGAACTTTTGAAAGCATGTTTTTTGGGTTTTATTTTTTGCTAGTAATCCACTAAGCTCAGCAGCACAGTGAGAGGAAAGGCTCCAACACGGTCTAAACCGCAGGAAGCTGCAGTTCATACAGAACATGCAAAAACACGGTCTAAACTGCAGCGGAGCACGAAAACCACAAAACCCACCGACCCCGGCAATTCCTCCAGCGATCTTTAACCCGTCCCCTCACCCTCCCCTCGCCCCTCACGCTCCCTGAGGCGGCGGCCTGGCCACGCTGCCGAGCGGCGGCAGGCCCGCGGCCCGCCCGGTGAGGCCACGGGCCGCGGCCGGGCGGGCCCGAAGGCCGGCGCGGGCCCGAGCGGGTGGCGGCCTCACCCGCGGCGGCGCCGGGCTCGGGCAGGTCCCCGAAGAGATCCATGGCCGCCGCCGCTGCCGCCCGGCCGGCCCGCACCCGCGGAGGGCCGGAAACGGGCCCGCGCTCCGCCGCGGCGGAAGCACCGCCTGGCCCCGCCCGCCGGGCCACGTGCCCGGCCCCTCCGCCAATCGCCAGCGGCGCCGCGCTGTCAATCAGCGCCGCCGCCCCGCCCCCTGCCCGCCGGGGCGCGCAGGCCCGCCAGGGGGCGCGCTGTCAATGGCGGCGGGCGCTGCCCGCCCTCAGCGCCGCTCCCGCCCCGGCCCTGCTGCCGCCCCCCGGCCCCGCAGAGGACGCTCAGCGCTCGGGAGTTGCGTTAAATGCGACATTTATTTCAGAACCGAACAAGCCTCACGTGCGCACGGACGGCCAAGGACCCGCAGCGCTGCGCCCCCCCCCCCCCGGCACGCGGCGGGAAGCGGAGAGCGGGGAGGGCGGCCTCGCTCCTGCCCTGGCCCCAGCCTGCCCGCCGGGCCACCCGCTGCCCTGTGCGATGTCCCTTCCGCTTGGGCTTGCAGTCGTGCCTGGACCTCCGCTGTGCATCCTTGCCGAGGGGACGGGTGCCGGGGCCGCGGGGAGGAGCGCGGTGCCGCCACAGCGCTGCTGGCGAGGTGGCAAGCGGCCCGTGCGCGCAGCCAGCGGGCAGCTCTGTTCCCCTCGGCACCCCCAGCCCAGCCGGCTGCTCTGCAGGTTTGCTGGCCTCAGGCGTGCTTCGGCTCCGGCTGGAGGATGCCCTTCGCTGGCTGCGGCTTGTCCGTGGCACAGGCAGCAGCACACAGCCCTGGCCGGTGAACCTGTGTCTGGTCCCTGACAGACACTGGTCCTGTCTCTGCCAGAAGCTGCCTCCATTCTGTTAGAGCCTCCCCTCAGGTACTCCCTGTTTCTTCACCCTGAGCCTCTTACACTGAAATTTGGGGTGGTACTAACTAGTCCTTGCTCAGAGAGAGCACGGGAGCCAGGATGGTGCAGCCCGGGCCCCTGCGTTGCCCCAGCTCAGCCTCTCTGTGCCTCCAGGCTGGCACCTCTCCACACAGAAAGGGCACAAGTCGGCCTTCAGCTCTAAAAGGATCACAGAGGGGAAATAACCCATTTGGCTGGGGAGGTTGTCCTGGGCAGGGGAGCTGGGCTGAGAGGAACAACCCCACTGCAGATTTGGGCTCTAGTAATGGGGTAAGATGTCAAAGGAGCTGTGGCAAGGCCAGGCAGAACCAGCATGTGCTCAAGAAGAATCCCCAAATTCTGTCACCTGAAACCCAAGCTAAAGGGTGCCTGATATGCAGCAAGGGGGCCAGTGCAAGCCTCTACTCCTCTGCCACGTCCCTGCCTATCCGTGCCCCCCACAACACGAGTATAACGAGAAGACAGCACCACGTCCCACACACGCACACACACACACACACACACACACACACACACACACACACACACACCCCACAGACTGTGCAGGGAGGTGTGGCAGAGCCAAGGCGCAGCTGTGCTGGACAAGAGACAGCAGAGCTGGGGGGTGCCTGGGAGATGTACAGAGGAAGATGCTCAGCTTCCAGCACAGAGCTGTGCCAGATGCTGCTGGCCACTTGGGAAGCCCTGAACAAAAACATCTAACCATGGGTGAGAGATGGGAGAAGAGAGAGTGCTGCTGGAGAAGGTGAGAAGCAGTGATGGCTAGAGGAGAAGGTCTTTTCAGCAAAAACTCCTCCAATGCAGAAAGCCCCCAGATTAACATGCTGATGGAGGCAGGGTGGGGGGAGGTGGGTGCTTGCTTCTGCAGCAGAGCAAGAGTGAGAAAACACCAGCTATAACAGAAAAAAGAAGACCCGTCCCCACCCTGACACCCTTTGATCTGCTTTGAGTTCATCATCCCGCTGGGAGAAGAAGGGATGTTCAAGCCCTTTTGGGAAAGGGCAAGAAGGATCCTGTAAGGGTGGGATAGTCATTCCTAGTCGTGGCTCCTGGGGAATCTTCCCATTCCATCTGAACCTCCATACTCCCTGCAGGGTTGGGATCCTTGGCATCCTGCCCTAAGAGTGGGAAATCCCTTTGGATGAGACACCTGGAGGTCCCAGGCTGGGATAGGGGAAGTGGCCCAAGTGCTTTTTGTTGGAAAGGGTAGCCCAGCATGGGGTGACAGACAGAGCCATACCCAGAGCTCTCCTTTTCCCTCCAGTAGGACCAAGCTCCAAAATGCAGTGACCCACCTGCAGGGACATGGTGCCCTGGCCAGTTGAGACTGTGGGCTCCTCCCTTCCAGAGGTAGATGGGACAGGTAGGAATTGCCTTCTTTGGGAAAACATGGTGGGCTGTCTGGGCACTGCTCAGGGGAAAAGTAGTTTAAGCTGTAGGGGAAGGCAAAGCAGATAGTTGGGGAAGGGCATAGAGTGAGGGTGAGAGCTGCACTGCTGCCAGGCACAAGCCAGGGACGTCCTGGGAAGGCATCTCTGGAACTCAGGCCCACCACCAAGGCTCTCCCCTGCCTGGGGGAGGCATTGGCTGGGGGCCAGGACTCAACTTAGGGGATTTTTGTGATGCAAATAGAAATAAATACTTTATAAATATAATCTTAAAGTACTGACACCTGATCTTACTCTGCTGTCTCTTGCAGAAACACCGGTAAATTAGGGAAACCCCACATCTAAATTACCACTTTCCCTTTGCCTGAGGGCAATTCCTCCTGTTCTCCCAGCTCTGAGCTTTACTGCATTCCCATCTCTCTAGATCAAAGACCAGCTTTTAGTCAAGACCACCCTTCTCACTCCCTCCCCTCTGATAGGGACCTTTTTTGGAGAGTTAGATGGTGTGATATGAAGGTCACCCATGGAGGGACAGGCAGAAGATGGCACGTGCACAAGGAATCCTGCCCAGGCGGGTCCAGGCTTTTGCAGCTACAAACAGAAGTGAGTTTCCCCTGTGAAGCTGTGAATCAAGACAGATCCTTCCATGGAGCAGAGAGCTGGGGCAGCAGATGGTGTGAAAGATCAGATATTAACATGGGGAATCTTCAGACAGAATCAGCTATCTTGATCCTGTTGGCAGACGGATGAGGTGGAGGGTGTTTTTCAGGTTAGATTCTCATCTGGGCTGTTCTCCTTCTGGACAGCTTGGATCTGATTTGGAAAACAAGGGACAAAAGGTGTTAAAAGATGTGGACAAGGGAAGGTGTGAACTCCCAGGTTCAGTGTCCTGCATCCAGGCTGATACTTGAATCCAGACAGCTGGAGGGACATAGAATTAAAGTCTCTTTAGCCAGAGCACACACATTGCTGTGCATTTATTCCTATTCCCCTAGTCCTACCACTTGAGGTGATTTCAAGAAGTCCACTGGATGGTCTTGTTGAGGAATGAAAGTATTTGGTGCAGGTAGTTTGGTATGCAGCTGCGATTTGAGCTGCGGGAGTGAGAGCCTGAGGCCAGAGGCCCTGAGCTGCCGATCGTTTGCATAACAAAGGGCACAGGGACCTGCGGCACAGCCAGGTGAAAGAACCTTAGACTAAGGGTGTAAAAGCGCAGGGCTCCCTCTGTTCAGGCTCCTTTCTCAGAGGCACCCAGCTATAGCTGTTACCTTGTTATTGCACCATGACTAAAAGCATGTTAAGGAACGAGGTGTCTGAGACTCTGCTGTGGGGAACCTGTGACTGAGCCAAAACCTTGTCTGAGTGTTTGTGGTGAGTGCAGAAGTCAACCAAGGCCTGTCGGTTCCAGTCGGCTCACTGAAACCACCTGCTGTGAAGGGGCCTCAGTCCCAGCTCAGGTGATGCATGTGTGACTTCCGGATGGTGAGACAGGAAAGTTTCTTTAACAAAACTCAAAAACTCCGTGGGATGGTCTCAAGAACAGTGACAGGCCAGAGGCCCTGCCACCAGGCACGGATGTTGCTTTGAGCTCAGCACAGCACCTCTGTACCACCTGGAATCTGCTTCTAGATGGAAACATTTAAATGTGGATGAGCTGAATTCAAAATTAATATGGTCCAAGTTTTGCCAGCTGAAAGCCAGTCCCAGAACAGCTCTGCACAGGAGATGTTCCCCACACCTGGCTGGGGCCTGTAGCAGGAAAGCACTGGGAGCCTTCAACCCCATCAGCAATGGCTTCTCTGCATCTCCCTTCCCCCAGCTGCCCCAGGTACCTTATGGATCCAGCCAGGAGAGGGTTGAAAGCGTAGAGCCAGTCGTGCATGTCTTTGTCACTGCTCGCCTGCAGCAGGATGCCCCGGTGCTCTGTGCACACCGCAAATGTGTTCGGGGTCTGCGAGGGGAGAGCCAGAGCTTAGTGCTTCACTCGGTGGGGTGTGCGGAGTGGGGCTGGCTCCCAGTGCCCTACCTTGAGCATGGCCTGCTGGTCCTCACTGTACTCCACCTGGGCCTTGGAGAGGTTGAGTATGGCCCTCTCGACCGCATCCTTGTCCGAGTTGTAGATGTAGACGTAGGGACGCCGGACCACCACGAAGCGTTTCACCCATCCATTGGTGTGAGGCTCCAGGAAGTGCAGGTAGCCCTTTTTGGAGACGATGGGACTGCAGAAGGGATCAAGGGAAGGGGTGGGAAACCATGAGGAAGGAGGCCATGAGGAGGTGGCAGTGGCAGGGCATGGCATTCTTGCCCATAGGTGCTCCCCTTGCTGGCTGCCCTGGTTGCTTCTACCTGACTCGAATCTCCTGGATGTCAGGCACCAGCAACCGCTGGGGCTCCTTCTCCTCCTCAGGCCGGCGGGCTGGGGACTTCTTCTGCTCCCCTTCTACCACAGGCTCCAGATCGGGGCTCTCTGCCCTGGAGGAAACCTGGGGGGGTCTGGGGAAGGAGGAGAGGATGGAATGTAGAAGAGTGATGGCTAGGGAACATCTATAGACAAGAACTGTGTCCCAGTGATACAGCTGCTCTGCTTGGGATATGTCACCAGAACCTCCCAGCCAGCTTCTTACCTGACTTCCATGGCATTGTAACATCCTTCCACCAGTGATGGGCAGGTCGAGGAGGGGGTGAGAGTGGTGACTCCAAGAGCTGGCATGGAAGGGTCTCTCATCAAGGTCACGGACATTTCAGACAGCTGCGGAGTAATGGAGGTGTAAACTAGAGTTTCTGTGCAAA